GCTCATTTGTCTGATTAAAAGTATGTTTTTGACAATAACCTTAAATCAGGTGTTAAACACACTTTTCATTAAGTCCATATTTCCATTAGGAGTATTTTGGTACATTTTACTCAAGTAAAAGTAGTCATCCAAAATATTACCTGAGTAAAAAGGCTAAAAAGTACTGAGAACATTTGTTTGTATTTCCTTTTTAATTCATGTAAAGCACTTTAAATTGACTTGTTGCTGAAAATGTGCTGTATAAATAAAATTACCTCACCTCACCTTACTGAGTTCTTGACTTGAAAATACTGATTTAATTTTTGAGAATTATGTAAAAACAAAGACGAATTAGATGAATGCAAATGTTGTGGTACTTTGAGTGATTAAATAGAAATAAATAAAGTAAAAATAAACATCCATTTAATATAATCCATTTAATAGTTCAGCAGAAGAAACTGGTATCCAATTATGAGTTTTCCACCAAGACATACAGCAGCAGGTTGTGTATACAAGCTAAAGCTGTGAAACGGACTTCCTGTAGCAATGCCTTTTACTCGATCTGTAACATAATACACACACAAATGATTTTGTGAGACAAATGCAACAAAGCCTTAAAACTGATTGAATAATTCTGGAGGCAGCAGGTAAAGGTGAGATAAATGTATGTTTCTACTGTAAACTCAAACTTGTCTTTGACCTGTCGTAAAGCAAATGGAGAGAACCACTCCCCTCTTTGCAAGACAAAGTTCAGATCTGACAGTCTGGCAAGTTATTTCCTGGCTCCTCCCATTTAAAGGTCAAGGCTTGGTAGAATTGCTGTGCTGTAAAGAGCAGGAAGTGACAACTGCTGACAACGCAGAGCAGCGAGGAAGAAACATGGATTCATCTAAATATTCTTGTTCCATCTGTTTGGACCTTCTGAAGGATCCGGTGACTATTCCCTGTGGACACAGCTACTGTATGAACTGTATTAAAGACTTCTGGGATGCAGAAGATCAGAGGGGAATCTACAGCTGCCCTCAGTGCAGGAAGGAGTTCAAACCGAGGCCTGAACTGGTGAAAAATGTCATGCTGTCAGAGTTGGTGGAGGATCTGAAGAAAACTGGACTCCAAGCTGCTCCAGCTGATCACTGCTATGCTGGACCTGAAGATGTGGCCTGTGATGTCTGTACTGGGAGGAAGATGAAAGCTGTCAAGTCCTGCTTGTTCTGCTTGATATCTTATTGTGAGAATCACCTCCAACCTCACTATGACATCCCTGGATTGAAGAAACACAAACCGGTGAACCCCTCCAGGAACCTCCAGCAGAACATCTGCTCTTGTCATGATGAGGTGATGAAGATCTTCTGTCGTACTGATCAACAGTGTATCTGTTATCTCTGCACTATGGATGAACATAAAGGCCATGAAACAGTCCCAGCTGCAGCAGAAAGAGATGAGAAGCAGAAGAAGCTCCAGAAGTGTCAACAACAAATCCATCAGAGAATCCAGGACCGAGAGAAAGATGTGAAGCTGCTTCAACAGGAGGTGGAGGTCATCAATCGCTCTGCTGATAAAACAGTGGAGGACAGTGAGAAGATCTTCACTGAGCTGATCCGTCTCCTCCAGAAAAGAAGCTCTGATGTGAAGCAGCAGATCAGATCCCAGCAGGAAACTGAAGTGAGTCGAGTCAAAGATGTTCAGGAGAAGCTGGAGCAGGAGATCAGTGAGCTGAAGAGGAAAGACGCTGAGCTGGAGCAGCTCTCACACACAGAGGATCACACCCAGTTTCTCCTCAACTACCCCTCACTGCCAGCACTTGGTGAGTCGACTCACTCATCCAGCATCAACATCCGTCCTCTGAGACACTTTGAGGACGTGACAGCAGCTGTGTCAGAGCTCAGAGACAAACTACAGGACGTCCTGAGAGACTCATGGACAAACATCTCACTGATGGTCACTGAGGTGGATGTTCTACTGTCAGAACCAAAACCAAAGACCAGAACTGAATTCCTAAAATATTCACAAGAAATCACTTTGGATCCAAACACAGCAAACAGATTTCTTTTATTATCTGAGGACAACAGAAAAGTAACGAGGGTAGAAAAACAACAGTTTTATCCTGATCATCCAGACAGATTTGCTGTTTCTTTTCATGTCCTCAGTAGAGAGAGTCTGACTGGACGTTGTTACTGGGAGGTGGAGAGGAGAGGAAGAGGATTTGTAGCAGTTTCTTACAAGAACATCAACAGAAAGGAAAGTTTTGGATTCAATGACAAATCTTGGTCATTATTTTGTACCAAAGATGGTTGCGTACGTTGTCATAACAAAGTTAAAACTCAGGTATCGGGTCCAGTTTCCTCCA